TGCAAATGAATTAAGAATTTATAGTGCTATATCTCAGCTTAATTAATCATAATTATATTGTATTCACGGTTTAAAAAATCTGTAAAAAATTACACTGAAATGTGCGCTGAAGGAATTTGTGTATTTTAATTATATTCATCATGTTTGGGGTTTTTCATCATTATACAGTCTGTTTAAATAAATATTCACAAACACATGCAGTGCTACTTTGTCTTTTATCTGTTTAACTTTTATTAAACTGCAGATCAAAATAGAATAGGCCTATACCCTAAATAAGGTTAAATTATATTGGAACGCATCTCCAAAATAATCGCATACACAGATGCACGTTGCCATTACAGTAGTCAGTGCCGAACAACAGGCAAATAAAATATAAACTGAGGTTACCAAAGTGATTCAGTCAAGATCAGTGAGGGATTTTCTTTTTTTTTGTTCTTTGATTAACATTAATGACTGGCGGCAGCGGCTGCTGTCAGTGCACGGATCCAATACATCCTTGTTTCCTTTCTCAACTTTTCGTTCACTTAAGACATAACCGATTGTATTTATGGGATATTTTGATATAATTCTATTTGTATGTCCATTCGAATGTGTAAGAATGCGAGAAAGAGAGCTCAGTCCAGTGTATTATAATAAAATAATTTAAAACAACTAGCCTATAGGGTCCTAGAAATGCAGTCCTGAATAAAACAGGATATTTTGTAAATATTTTTCCCCCTGAACTTTTAAAAATGATCATGTACTGTATAAAGCATGTATTTACAAAAATAAGGGGGGGGGGGTCTTATTGGCACAGTGGTTATCCAGAAAAAGAAAAAAAACCTAAAGCATGTATTTACAAAAATAAGGGGGGGGGGGTCTTATTGGCACAGTGGTTATCCAGAAAAAGAAAAAGAACCTAAAGCATGTATTTACAAAAATAAGGGGGGGGGGGTCTTATTGGCACAGTGGTTATCCAGAAAAAGAAAAAGAACCTAAAGCATGTATTTACAAAAATAAGGGGGGGGGGGTCTTATTGGCACAGTGGTTATCCAGAAAAAGAAAAAGAACCTAAAGCATGTATTTACAAAAATAAGGGGGGGGGGGTCTTATTGGCACAGTGGTTATCCAGAAAAAGAAAAAGAAAAGCCATTTCATGCCCACAAGGTTGCAGACCCCCGCTGAAACAAAAATAGTGTAGATCCACAAGATCTTTACCTTGATGCAGAGCCATAGGATTTGGACTCGATTCCATGCAAGCAGTCCTGAAGTGAGCTGATGAGAACTTTACAGCGGTCATCAGCAGAAACCTTCGACTGCTTGATCAGAGAAATGGCCGTCACCAGAGTCTCTATAGCACTGCCGTAATCAGCTGCAAAAACAGAGCATTTCATTACCACCTGACAAACCAAACTAAACATTCATGCTGCGTGTGTATAAGTGTTTTCGCACCTGCGCTTGCGTCTGACACGGCCCTCGAGATAGCACTGCTGGAGATCGCTCTGTTACGATTCATGATCTCCTCAAACTCAGCTTCGCTCAGAGGAGTGCGAGATGAATCCATGTCCCTACAAGAGGAAAAGCAGATGCATTGAAACAAAGCATAAATCAGAATAAAACACTAACAACATCAGGGTCCAATTTCACACAGAGAGCAGCAGTGCCGTTAGTGCTGAATCACAAAGCATGTTAAAACTAGTGATACACTGAAATTTTGGTAACCGAACACATTTGTATGAAACCACGGTTATTATAGTTAACTAAGACTGAACCTTTAAACTAAAACCTTTAAAAACATTGTTTCATTAAATTAAATAAACGTTAACTGAAAAAAAATCCTTTATTTCATCTAGTCGCCAAAGCACCATTTCTCATTTTAGTTTAGTTTACCTTGAAGTACTTAACCTAAAAATAAACTATAGACCATTTACTAAATATAGAAAAAAATGTATTACTAAAAAATTTAACTGAAAAATAAGTTTCTCAATGATACGAAAATAAACAAATTTATTTAAAAAAATAGACATTAAAAAACTTCAACTAGATCACAAAAAATTAAATTATAATAGTATCTTAATTTTATTTAAAAAAATTATTTTAAAAAACTTATATATATATATATATATATATATATATAAATGATATAAAAACTGAAACTACAGTATCTCTACTGAAGAACTTTACAAAAAACCCTGAATAGCAAAAATAATTAAATTACATTTTTGGTTAAATTATTTGGCTAAATGAAAACCTCAATTTCTGTTTCAATAAATTCATTTTGGAGCATCACCAGTAAAAAACAAAAAAACAACAACAATTGAAATCACTACAGAAACGGCACACACTCAATGCATTCAGAACACACTCAAGCCTGAGCAAAGGTCCTGTTTCAGGATCCTGGTCTCAGCGGACGGTTACTTCACTAACCCTTGATCACTTGTATTGTGCAAGTGCTGGCCAGAGTTTTTCACAGCAACCAACCCCTCGTCTATCCATGGCTCAAAGCTACATACTACAGGGGGTCTGAAGTTACTGAAGAAAGGCCAGAGAGGAGATTCAGGGTCAGTTTGAGGCCACACGCGTCACCAATAACCTCCACTCCTGGAGTTAATAGTAAATACCAAATTGCAAAGGCTAAGATTTAATTAAATATGTGCTGCATGTTTCAGAGCAAAAAAAAAATAAAAATTATAATACCATTTTATTATAAAATTACAATGGTTACTTTTTGTAATAATCAAATACAGTATTGTTATAGTTAATATGTGCTGCATGTTTCAGGGTAAGAATAGCAACAATTTTTTTTTAACTATTTGAAATGACAATAGTTATTAATATTTGTCATAATCACAATAATAATTCTCACCATTAGTCCATTAATGTGCTGCATGTTTCCAAAAACAATAAATCTCAATAGAAAAATTAATTTCTTAGTTTCTGCATGTTCTAATGAGTGATATCGTTTAAAATCATGAAACAGGTTCGTGATGCCTGACTTTGATGACCCGTATCTTCAGCAGTTTGCAGTGAAGGCTGCAGTATTAATATTATTATATTTTTTTGTCTGGCAGTGTTGCATTTAACCCTCCACCATTGCTGTCTCTCATCGTACTGCTGATTGGCCTCTGCTCTGCCTGTGCGTGTTCATGTGTTTTGGAGGCCCCGTGGCTTTTTGCAGAGTGATTATGCAGGGAAGGTGGGATCTTGCTTTCAAAGCTAGCTTGCTATTGCTAGCCTTTCCAAAATCGCCTACCCAACCTTTAAGTGCAGGAAGGGAAAGAACTTCCACAGTTTTGTGCCGCGCACACATCTAAAGCGTGAGCACAGAGAAACACGGTTTCAGTGCACTTCCCGGCTGTTCTCGAACCGTTCCGTGCATTCCTGCAGCGGATAAGCTATTTCCAGGCTTTCACATCTTGCGACCAATATGCACAAAATTACATCATTATATCCCTGTACACAGCCACAGCCGTTTTTTGTCTCAAGCGAACATAAACAGATGAGAAAGAAAGCGCCTGTGTAACAGTATTTTTAGATCCGCATGTGTTCGGTGATAAAGACACAGCAGCCTAATACACGTCTGCGGATTTTCATTAATGTTAATCAAAGAACAAAATAAAATCATTCACTGATCTTGATTGAATATCTTTTGCAACTTTAATGAGGATTAATCTATAGTTTATTTATGAAAAGAAAACTATGCAGTGTTTTTCAACTTTTGATTTCAATTTCTGTACCTGAAATTTGTTCAGTTGTATTTTTTATGCTATTGCTAATTGATTTGTTTTTATTACTGACTTTTTTATATTGTCTTTAACAATTTAATGTTTGAAATGTATATTAGTCCATTTGTTTTCACTGTGGTATTTTTGTTAAAACCATAGGCAAAAGTTCCTCTTGTAGGCCAAAGTGTGCTGTAGGCTGATGATTTTTGCTCATGTTATTCAGCTGCAACAGAACGGTTTGTAAATGACAATACAAATCTAAATGTTTGACTCATTTTATTTTTTTTATTGGATCTTTTTATCTTATTGGAATCGATAAGAATCAGAATCTATAAAATTCAAACGATACCCAACCCTAGTTATAAGTAATTTACTTAATTTAAATACATACATTTTTAAATAATTTTATTTAGTAATAATTACTACAATAGTATTATTTTTACAGTTATACTGAAACCTGAAGCTTGTACTTGACAATTTTTTTTATAAAACATTTAATTTTAAATGCACTACTGAAAAAAAAAAACGCAATTAGTTTTGAAATCGTGCATCCATATATATTCCAAGCATTTAGTTTTCACTGGTGTGGCCTGAGAACTTGTTACGGGTGAGATTTACTGTACAGTGAAGGTGAGGTGTTTCTTACCTGCCGCCAGGGCCATATTCTCTGTCATATGGAGGAGGGCGGCCGTACATGTCACCTGGGGGTGGGCCCCTGCTGTCGGACGATGGCATGTTGTTGTTTCCAGGCGGTGGGAAGAAGGCTGGGTTGACATGAGGGGCCGGCGGTGGACCTCCAGGCGGGGGTCCCTGCATGTGAGGTGGAGGCACGAGGCCAAGCGGGGGTCCTAAGGGCCCAGGTGGACGGGGAGGGAAGGGTCCAGGAGGGGGCAGACCCTGCTGAAGTAGAGGGGGGCCTGGGGGAGGCCCGTATCCAGGTGGTGGCGGGCCAGGAGGCATCGGTCCCATAGGAGGCTGACCAAACTGACCAGGAAACATGACGGGTGGAGGAGGACGGTCTCCTCTGTTAGGAGGACCTCCGAGGGGCGGCAGCAGACCTTGTCCAGGTGGAGGGGGGCCAGGGGGTCCTGGAGGCCCAGGTGGGCCTGTGGGAGGACGCAGGGGGCCTTGCATACCTGCAAAGGGAAGGTTTGAAAAATGAACTATTTACTTTGATCAAAGACAGCAGTAGGAAAGTAGTGCGAGTATTCCAAAAATTGTCAGACAAACCCCTTTGACCTAAAATAATTAGAAGTCCCCATGAGATTTTAAGTTAATATTTCCATGATTTAAAAACAATCATTTGCATGCTCACAGTTATCTGTTATTGAATGTTTACATGACATAGTAACATAGCCAAAACCACCGCATATAGCCGCTCTTTAGTGTAGATGTTGATTTTATCAGACAATAGGCGTGTTTCCATTACCCTTCAAATTGCGCAAATTCAAAATAAGCTTAATGGAAACGCGTCAATTTTGCAAAAACGCCCATATATCGCTAAAGTTTTTACGCTCACATGAGGTGGTTCTTCAGGCAATGCGAAAAAGGAATAATTCGCAAATCTGCAATGGAAACGTTTTTTTCGCATTTACAGGTCACATGGCGTATGTAAGAATTCATATGATCATTCTTCAATGTACTATAACCTCCAAGAAACACTTCATAAGTGGCCGCGCTCCAGTATAAGGGGCTTTCCCTACTATTAATACTTAGACAATTTACACTGCACACGTCTGCGGTGCAGTGTGGCTCTGATACGGTCACTGAAGCTGATTGCGGCCACTCAATGCTTGTTTATGTTTTTATACAGTCTATGGTTTATTCCAGCCGCGCCACGCACGTTTCTGAAGCGGCTCTCTTTGCTGCTTCTGTAAAGATACACGCATAAGCCTCCTTTGAATAATTATAGCCAAAATCCGTTGCCATGACTTATTGCGAGAAGCAAAAGGTTACGTTTTAGTCGCATAACATTGGTTAATAGAAACGCCGTCATTTCGCAATACTTTTTTATCGACATTTAGAAAATATCGCCAAAGTTTTGAGCAAATCTGTAATAGAAACGCACCTAACGTTGCAATTATAAATCAGGACTTAAGGAGTATAGTAAAAGTGACTCCTGGTTAACATGTAGCTTTAAAGGGTCATGTTCAGTCACTATTTATACTTGTTTTATGCATGACAACAGAAACAGAAAACATGTAAAGGGGAACAGCTTTATTGGGCATTCAATTGTATTACAGTACGTGATGACAGAGAGTAGAACAGAAAGTGCCAAAACATGTCTGAACGCAAACACGACACAACAACGTCATAAATATGATCAATTATTATGTGACGTTACCTGCTGCCACAAGTCTTACAAGATCCTGTGGAAAGCACTGCTTAAATTAAAAATAATAAATATGAACTTTTAGTATGTGCTTTATTTTAATAAATTTATTATTTTATCATTTATAATTTTAGTAAGTGCTTTATTTAGATTATTTTTATTTAAATTTACTGTATTTTTACTGTATTTACTAAATCTCAGTTTAGGGCCTCAGAAAATGGGGCAAAATGCCACCAGCTGTTGTGTAAATCAAGGTTATTATAGTTTTGAATTTTTTTATTCATTTTATTTTAATATCGTTTTCAAATTTGCTATAAAATTAAGTTTTTGTTAGTTTTAGTTTAGTTTTTATTTTGTGAACATTTTTTAGTTTTTATATAGTTTAGTTTGAGTTTTAAAGTTGAGCAGAATTAACAGATCACTTCCAGAGCGCAGGCCAAAGAAAGACGTAGGCATAATTTAACCTTAGAGAGGCAAACATATAGCGACACAAAATTAACGCAAGCTGAGATTGATTAGATAGTAAAAGTACACAAATATACGCCAAAGTCGCGCTTAATGTCATATCCAATGATGTGTGTTGAGATATTTAGTATGAAAATAAATGTAGCCTGATTTGGTTGTCTTTTCTTATTTAACCATAATCATGATATTGTAACTGTGGTGTCTTGCTCACTTTTCTGTGAACAGCCGTGCATAAATCAAAACTGGGACTAATGAAATTCAATAATAACGGCAATCGCATTTATCAGTAAAGGCTTATATTTGAATGTTCTTTTCATTTATGAAGAATTATAAGTGTGTATGATGTGATTTAGCCAATGCACATTTGTTCAAAAGCCTGGCA